TTCCCATTGGTTTGTCCTCATGGTTAATGCTCTTGTTATTATGCTTGAAGAGTGTGCACATGGCGAGCCGAAGGCCGTACGATGACATGGTTTCCCACCACTGCAGTAGATTCCTGACTTTTTTTAAGAGCGTGCTTTTTTCTACTCATGATACCATTGGCAGTGCAGCCAACCTGATATGCCATCCCTTGTCCCGCCTTGTTGCCGATGTGTTTGCCAGTCACATTGCTGATATTTGTGTCTTTATATATATATATATATATTTCATTTCATTTTGGTACGGAGGTTCATCTGTTTTTCATTTCAAGAAGCAAACTGATCAAACCCTGACTAGGGCGCAAAATGCTTACTTCGCAAAGTTTGTGCTGTGCAATCTACTTTCGCTTACGCTTCAATACATTCTGCCTCAATTTCCCCAAGGCTGTTGCTGCTTATATCATATCTTTACCATTCATTGCAGCCCACCATAACCCTTGTTTGCCATTGGCAGGATTTTGAGTTTGCATCTGTTTTACCCTTCTTTCCAGCTGTTTATCTGAGTGGAAGTCCCAGTGTGAGAAGAAAATCCGCATGAATCACGTTGGGTATTATAGTGAAGGACTAAATATAAAGCTCATACATTTTCATTGACTTATATTGCTTATTCTTAATAAACCAGATTAAAGGTGATCCAGATATACCCTCACATTTCTCTGCACGTAGCAACACAAGCCATTGAAAAAAAAATTGTACACTGGTTAAACCTAATTTTCATTCAAGGAATATTTGTGGGAATATTCCCTAGTTAAGGCTCTCGTAGCTGAAAATATATCTCAACAGCTCCAACTGTTACAAAATTTAACTTTGCTTGTTCTTACCTAACTAAGGATTCATCATCCCTTGACTATATCAACAAACAGGTAAACCAAGCTAGTTATGATAGGGAACATACTTGAACCTAATCCCAAGTAATGAGAATTTTGTGATCAGGATAGTTTAGTTTGGGATGCCAGCACTGGAAAGGATTAATGTTCTCTTCTTCCACGTGATCTTTCCTTGATTACATTTCCCCTCCATACATATTGGACTCCTTAGTTTACTATTAATGTTTTTTTTAAATGAAAGATTCCAGTAATTGATGAATCTTCACATCGTTTGTGTCAAAAGTGACTTATCTGATGAAACATACAATAAAATAGTTGAAAATAAGTTATTTTGCTGAGTCACTAGATAAGACTTGTGGGGTGGAGTAGGAATGACATTCATTTTAATGTACATTAAATGAATTTAGTTAATTCATTTATTCCCTTAAATCAAGGGATAATTTGAAATTAATTGTCGAAGATGATAGATTCCCATGCAGACTTGATAAACTTGAAAACAGATTAGGTTATCTTTGTGAGTCCATTCAATAGAATGTTTTTGAGCCAAAACTAATTTGCCACATTCACTGATTGTGATCTAAATTGTTTGTAATTTTCCTAGGAAATAATTAATGGTTGGAATGAGGTGTAGTAGAATGTTCACTGAAAAAATCAACCTTTAATGAAGGGTTCTAATAATAATAATAAAAAAAAAATAGGAAATAGGATAACAAAAAATCGGACTATCCAGTGACTTATCATATGTTTACAACATTGTGTAAGACTTTGGTGGGTATTTACACAATGAGAATGAGAGTGGGGGAAGGGAGAGAGAGAGATGAACTTAACAAACACTTGAAGTAATTCAAATATAGACTTAGCTTTTGGGATCATTAGAAACCAAGCAGAACCTTGAAAATTAAGATAGGAGGCTGACACTTTACTACATGTCATCTTGTCTCTCAGTCTAATGCGTGTATTTTAATTTGGAAAAAGGAATTGGCAAACATCAAGAATGCCCAGCTGGCACAAGTTCTCTGGGTTTTTAATTATGAATCTTTACCAGCTCTATCAGCAGGAGACAGGGATTGATCCTAGGATATTTTGGATGCTGAATTTTTCATCTTGGAAGCGCTGAAGTCTATGGGAAATGTAAATAATAAAGATCCAATGCTTTTTTTTTCTTACCATGTGTTTTGGGGGTCACAAAATGCCCTGTGCAGAATATTTGAAAGAGCGTATTTGAAAAGACATTAGTGCAGTGTTTCTCAACCTTGGCAACTTGAAGATGTCCGGACTTCAACTCTCAGAATTCCCCAGCCAGCATTCGCTGGCTGGGGAATTCTGGGAGTTGAAATCCGGACATCTTCAAGTTGCCAAGGTTGAGAAACACTGCATTAGTGCGAGCAAAGCACTGCCATTTGAAACAGCTGTGTCCCCTTGAAAGCTCTCCTGGCTGTTTTGAAGGTTGATCCCTAGATGTTTCTTCCTTCCCAAGCCTACACACCTCTTTTTCCCTAGCAGCTCTAACAGACGTACACGTAGGTGTGGAGAAGTAGAGGCACCTGTTGAAAGCAATCATGACAGCTTCCCAAATGATTGCAACTATACTTAAATGCTTTGCTTCAAGAATACTTGTACCAGCATACTTTATGAATTAGTTTTTTTATGAATGCTTTGCTCAGGCAATCCATTTATTATTATTTAATCATATATTTCTAAATTGTTTTTTTCCCCAAGGCAGAGATTGTTTCCCATTATGGAAGATTCAAAACAAAGCAAGCAAAAATGTTTTTTTTCTATGTTTCCAGGCAATATATGTATGTCTTTTCTTAGCTTTTTTTTTTGTAGAACTGTCCATCCACTGGCTAAAAAGTAGACACAAGCTTCCTTTCCAACGAGAAGCAATATATTTTTGTTTTGAAGCTCAGCTTCCAGAGGAATAAGAAGCTTTTTAAAAAAAATAACTGTTGGAAATCTAGGCATTATGATTCATCAGGGAGCTGATCTGTTTCCTCCACCACCTTATAAAATCCACCGAAATTAATGGGTTTTACTGTACAAATTAAGCAAGTATAATTCTTCACGCAGCACACCATTTTCATTTTCACAAGTCACTGATTCTAACTGCATTTTTAAAAATTAAATATGTTCATTGAGGATAGATTGTTCAAGTACTATTACAATATAGTAGTCAAAACTGCCAGGCTTAAAGATGGCTCATGGTTCATCATCACACTTCCAGAGGTATCTAGTCAATCATTGTTGGAGACAGAATTCTGGACTGGACCTTGATTTCCAGCAAACCATTTATCCCAGGTGTTCATCAGCTAGAAGAACCATTTTTTTCAGTTCCGATCCAGGAGGCTACTCTGCATATGGAAGCCAATTTCCCAGTGTGAAACGTGATTTTAAGAATTATATTGTGTGGCTTTAAACTGTTTTATTTCACTGCTTTCAGAATACTGTTTATTATTTGATTTCTTTATCCTGAGTGTGAGGAGATTACAAAATCATGAAAGAATTCCAGTGTTGCAAAAGGCAATTTCTCTGGGAAATAAATCAAGGGCAGGAGATTACATTAGAAATACGAGAAATCCTTCCAATTGTGGCTGTATTTTTCCTCCAGTTTTTTCTTTTAGAAAAGTCATTTCCAATATCTTGCCGCTCAGATGTATCGGACAATAGCTCCTATATATTTCACAACCCCCTACTTCCTAACCAGCTTTTCAAATGGAAAAGTTCATTGAAAAGGATACTACTAGCATTTGTATGTTTTGCAGCCCAATTCAGATGCCTCACTGATCCCTTGCCAGTCATTCTGGAGAAATGTGCACATTTTTAATTATTTCAAAATAAATACGCCTTTTGCTGCATACTGAGATGAAATGATTCTTACTGAAATAATTAAGAATTCAATGCCAAGATCAGATTTGGTCTTTAAGCATGTATAAATGGGTAGCCATTAGTACACCCTGATGTGTGTATCTGTGTGTGTATTGTACACACACACATACACACAGACAGACAGACAGACAGACACAGAGAGAGAGCCCCAATAATTGATTTGGGAGAACTTCATAAAATATTTTGAAAAAGTACTGTTATATAAATTAGGGTTACATTTGCTTCAAAAATGATTTGGAATTACTGTTTTATACCTCACTCAAGTGCAAATACAATGCCTATTCATTAAAACACACTTGCCTTTTTTCAGTATACCATTTGAGCCCCACCACCACCAAAAAAAAGATGTGGTTGCTGCTATAAATACTTTTAAAGACGCACTTCTTTAAGAACTTGATTTATTAAAATTAATTTATATTTTCTTCAGGTGTCATGAAAGTCCAAGAAAAAGATATGCATGCTTGAATGAATAGCAGTGAGGTATTGTCCTTGGGGTTGAGAGAAGTATGGAGCCCTTCCTCAGAGTCACTGTCAAAGCCTGCAACAGTCATTCAATAAATGTTAATGTGTAATATACACAAAGATTAATAATTGAATTCAATTATTTTTGAATGTTAAATATTTAGTCTCGGTTTTTCAGCAATGTTTCAGAGTTGCAGTACAGTGATTTTGTATGAAACATCTGTAGGTATAAACATTCCATCATCTTGTGTTTCTCAAGAATAGTTTTATGATACTAGATTTTTAAAAAAAAATGTATTTAAAAAGCAGTCCCCTCATTTGTGCCAAAAGTTGATTGGTATATCCATTTCAGTTTTACCATGATTTGGCCAGAATCAGACAAAAGGAATTGTGTCATTAAATGGATATATGACTTTGAAATTTAAATATAGCACATAAATGCATTCACACATACAAACATAATTATATTCATATTTGTTACATTCCAGAATCTTATCTCAACTTCATTGCATGGTAAAGTTTTCTACGGTGAAGTTGTATTTATTTTTAATATAATAATTGTTACAAATGTAACAAAATACAGCTAGGTTTATCAATATAAGATTATTAATAGTGCACTGGGAGAGCCAAACAATAATAAAGTCAACAGATCTCTAATAGGTTTTTCTAGTTGCATGTAGCCATATTTTTATGACTTTGCCCTGCCACATTATGCTGTAAACTACTTTTATAAATGCTTTCTGTAAAATGTTCTAAAACCCAATGCAACAACTACAGATTTACTTTCAGCCTCGAAGATGGAAATCCATGGACAGGAAGGTACGAGCCTTTTCGCAGCTACACCCTTGAGCACGAAGGAAGAAGAGAAAGGAAGGGAATCCAGTGAGCACCCCGCCCAAGATGCCTTAGTTCCACAGCCAGCAAAAACAGAGACTATAGAAAAGAGAGAACCACAGCTCACAGGAGAAGAAATGACGTTCCCATCTCGGTTGGGAGAAACCTTGGACGCCACTCTGCAAGAGAAAGAGGAGAAGACTTCCACACCTCAAGAGCAAAGAGATTTGCTAACAGAGTTGCATAAGAAAAGTACACTAGATGAAAAGGCCACAGAGACCCAGAAGTCCGCAACAGAAGCCTCTCCCTTGGAATCTAAAGACGATCAGATTACTGTTACAAAAAATGACTTTACCTCTCCTGCAAGCATTGGTTCTTCTTCGCTCTCAGAATCTATAGCGGACGTAGGCACGGTAACAAGTGCCTTTTTTCCTGAAACCTTACCAGGTGTTCGACACACGTCTGAACCAGAAGAGAGTAGCAAAACAACAGAAAAGTCCGCTATTACAGAGATTACCAAAGACCTTTCAAAAGATCAAACAATGAGCAAAGGGCAGATGAAAATACAGGAAGAAGATTTTGCAGTAGTGGGCCCCAGTGCCTCACAAAAAGCCATTGTAGAACAAACTCCAAGTCAGGTTCCCCTTTGGGAAGAAGAGAAAGATATGACGGAGGATGAAAGTGATGAAGAGAAGTACTCCATGTCCAGTAAACAGAAGCTCAGAGAATTGGATGATCAGCCTTTTGCTGTGTGTGACCAAAAACCAACCGTTCTGGGTAAAGACGCTCTGGGAAAAGACGTTGATCCTAAAGAAGCATACGATGCACCAAAAACAGAAGATTTGGGGATAACTGGGGAATCAACGGCGTGGAATGTTAAAAAAGATGAGAAAACCCCTGGTGCTGAGGTCATGGCAGACCGATTCAGTAAAGATTTTTCCCCTGAGAAATACGAAGAGCATTTAGATACCGCTGCGTTACATGAAACCATAGAGAAATCCCCATCTGAAGCACACAAAGAGCCCCAGGAAGACAAACGTTCTGAAAAAGAAGGGAAAGGTGAAGTGTTTCCTGTTGCAGATTCAGATCCCCACCAAATGAGGACAGAAGAAGATAAATCAGGTATGTCCACGTATTTCGAAACGTCCACTCTTAAAGACGAAGCTGTCAAGAGTGATAAAGTACAGCAAGGCAACGATTACTATGAACTGAGTGATTCGAAAGACCAGACTTATGATATCGACCATAAAAATTCTCTTGTATCTGAAAAGGAGACTGATGAATACCAGCCAGAAGCACACCGACAGCCCAGTCCACCTGCTCATCAAATTGGATACAGTACCCTTGCCCAGAGTTTCCCAGAAGATGAGGCTAAGGAGCCCAGCTCTCCTCCAGAAAGAATGTATACTATTGACCCAAATGTGTACGGTGATAAGAGAGAACTCCACAATAAAAATAAAGATGACTTAACTCTCAGCAGGAGCTTAGGGCTTGGTGGAAGATCTGCTATAGAACAGAGGAGTATGTCAATAAATCTCCCAATGTCCTGCTTAGATTCTATAGCCCTGGGGTTTAACTTTGGACGTGGTCATGATCTTTCACCTTTAGGTTCAGATATTTTAGATACGGCTAGTGGAGACGAAGGCGATGATTACTTGCCTGCCACCACCCCACTAATAGAAAAAGCTCCCCGCTTCCCAACAGAAAGTAGGGAAGACGATGATGAAGAAGAAGAAGCAGAAGAAATAGCAGAAGAAGAAGCAGAAGAGGAAGAGAGGATAGAAGAGTCCAAATTTAAAGAATCAGGAGAGATTCAGGTGGAGCCTTTATATGAATCCCCTTTGCTAGCTAAAGATTATTACAAAAACGGAACTGTAATGGCTCCGGACTTACCTGAAATGTTAGATTTAGCTGGCACGAGGTCAAGAGTAGCATCTGTGAGTGCAGACACGGAGGTGGCACAACGGAAATCTGCTCCTTCCGAAGTGGTTGTTGAGGATAGCTCTGCAGTTCAGCAGCTTATGACTGATGAGGATCACATGACTCTAAGAGCTGACAGTCAAGTAGAAGATTTAGGCTACTGTGTTTTCACCAAATACACGGTGCCATTGCCATCTCCAGTTCAGGACAGTGAGAATTTGGCAGGAGAAAGCTGCTCTTATGAGGAGAAAATGAGGAGAGGGGTAGTTACAGATCTCTCGTTGATAGAAGTGAAGTTGGCAGCAGCTGAGAGATCCTGTGAAGGAAAAGAGGTCTCTGGGGACTCCCCAGTTTGGGGCCAGGACTTTGAACAAGAGAGAAAAGCTATTGATAAGTTAGATACCGTGTTAGAAAAAAGTGAGGAACAAGCTGATGCTAAGGAAGTATCTTTTCCTGAAGATACTGAGCATGAAATAAAGCTTGGTGCAGAGCTAGCAGATGTTAATGATAAAACTCTAGTTGAGCCAGAAAAAAAGTCTTCATTAATTAAGGAAGAGGAAAATGCTATTCACGTTGCTGCAAACATAGATAAGGCAGAATTGTCCTGCAAACCAGACTACAATGCTATAAAGCATGATATGGATTCTGCTGCTCGGCAAGTGGAACAGGAGTATCAGAGTAAATTAGGAGGTCACATCACTGAATTAGTTTCAGAGCAGAATAAAGAAGATCCAGAGAAGATTCTCTTTGCATTACATCAAGAACCTGATCTATGTGCAACATTGGAATCTAATAATATTAAAGATGCAGCTAAACTGTCTGAAATTGAAATTAAGGAAAAGGGCCCTAAGCCTGACCTGGTGCATCAAGAAGCAGTAGATAAAGAAGAATCATACGAATCAAGCGGTGATAATGGTCAAGTGCAAGAGGGATTGTCTGGAGAAATTTCAAAGCCACCTGAGGGCAAAATACAACGAGAAATCCCACCTTTACCAGAGGAAGAACATGCAGAAAAAAGTATACCGAAAGTTATTCAAGAAGAACCAGCGGAAACTCAAATGGAGAGCATAATGGAACATAAAGTAGATCAGGCAGATCATGTGGAGATAACCGAGACTGAGAAAGTTGAGAAGTTGCCGCATGATTTAAAATATGAGAAAGAAGAAAAAGTGGAAGAAGAGCAGAAGGAAGAGATTAAGCAAACGGAAGAACAAGAGGAAGAAGTAAAACACACAAAAGAGGAAATCAAATACAGGGAAGAACATGAAAAAGAGATTAAAAATGTAGAACAGCAAGAGGACGCCAAGCATGTGAAAGAACCTGAAGTAGAGATTGAGAAAGATGAATATGAAGAAAAGACTAAAGAAGAAGAAGAGGAAGAGATCAAGCAAGCAGAAGGACAAGAAGAGGAAAAAGAGAAAGAAGAGGAAACCAGTAAGCAAACGAGTAAAGACGAGGACTTGGAGAGCCCCAGTGAAGAAGTATGTAAGGCTATCCCTGTGGAGATACCTGAGCTCAAAGGAGTCATAGAATCTGTTGTTACGGTTGAGGATGATTTCATTACAATTGTACAGACAACCATTGATGAAGGAGAAGCCAATTCCCACAGTGTTCGCTTTGCTGAAACAGCACAGCCTGAAACAGCCGGAGAAGGTCCCTGTACTGAAGAGCTGGATATGGAGGCAGAAGTTATTGCTCATGTTGAAGCAGACTCAGAAGAAAAGTCTTTGGAACCTCCGGGCTCAGCTGAACAGGAAGAAATCCCAGCAACTGATTACAAGACAGAAACATATGACGATTATAAAGATGAAACAACAATGGATGACTCCGTCCTGGATACCGACAGCATATGGGTGGATACACAAGGTGTGCCTTACGCTTTTTCTTTCATTCGTTTTGCTGTCAATATGCTATCTTAATAATTAAAAATAATCAATGACGGCGCAGTCATGAATGTTATAAAAATAATACTAGCATGAATTAAACCAAATTGTTTAAAAGAGTATATCCCAGAGAAGTACAAATAACTAATCCTGTTTTTGTTATAATTTACTCTGATCCTGCAGATGATGATAGGAGCATCATGACAGAACAGTTAGAGACTGTTCCTAAAGAGGAGAAATCAGAGAGAGAATTGCGGAGACCATCTCTTGATAAACATAAAAAAGAAAAACCTTTAAAAACTGGGCGAGGCAGGATTTCTACTCCTGAAAGGAAAATAGCTAAAAAGGAACCTAGCACAGTCTCCAGAGATGAAGTGAGAAGGAAAAAAGGTTTATATAATACTTGCTCTTTTTCCTTTTATGCTGTACCGTGGGTGGCTCATCTGTATACGTTTTCATTAAGGACATACATTTGTGCTAACAGTATGACATATGATCCATACTTCTTCCATCGCTTCACTTTCATGCTGGTGGTAACAGCAAATAAACATACAAATAGAAATTCATCTTCTAAGATTCATCAATATTGTCAGCATCATGTTATCTACCCTAATAATATTGGTACTAAGTATCCACGTAGCGGTATTCCTACCTCATTACTTATCACGGCTTCCACGTGAGTACTCAATTCTAATCTTTACTAAAAGAGGGAGAGAGAGAAAGAATTGTCAGTAGTAGAAGACTTCATTTAATTTGAATCAAGGTAAACGTCCAACTCTCTGAATCAAACCAGTCAGATCACATCTAGGTTGAGAGCCTTCAAAACTGAATGTCTCACAAAGATCTCTTTGTACTTAATGTACATTGGTTCTCCTTTCTTTCCATAACTTCATACGTTGCCCAGCATTGAGGCTCTCTGGGAATGGATCAGAATGACACAGGGGTTACAAATTGGAATAGAAAGAGTTTGCTTTCCCACCCTATTAAATAAATAATACATACATTTTCAGTCAGGTTGTATAATTTTGGAAGGGACGTGTATTTGATAGAATGAAAGAATTGGTGAAAGCTGTAATACCTTAAATATAGATCATGTGGGCATTGGTACACTCAAGTCAGAGTTTGGCGCCAGCAGTCAAAATGTTGATTTGTTGAAATATATTTCTACTTACAATTTTTTTATTTCTGATTGTATGCTCTTGTTTTCTTGTCTATAGCTGTGTATAAGAAAGCTGAACTTTCTAAAAAAGCTGAAGTTCAGGCTCACTCTCCCTCCAGGAAAATCATTTTAAAACCTGCTATCAAACACACTAGACCAACTCATCACTCCTGTGTTAAGCGGAAGCAGACAGGTGACTGTGCTGTCTTGAATTTATGCAATGTGGCTGGCAAACATAGACATTAACTATTCTCATTATTATTATTATTTGTAGTCTCATTGCTCTATTGGCTGCTCTGATTTTGATTTCGGTTTTTTTCCTCTCTAAGAGTTTTTCAGCTCTCATGAATGATACTGCTTTTTTTTGTATCACACTCTCTTCATTTATTATTATTCGGAGGCCATAATCATGAATGCTTTATCATGCTTGGAATTCCCAAGTTCTGTAGCTGTTTATTGTTGATAACAGTGTTGTATAAATCTCTCTATTTTGCTTTGTTCTGTTTTTCATTTTTGCTCTGTTCTGGTGGGAAAGCGCAAATGGCTTTGAACCATGTTTTACATTTTTATTTCCTTTATTCTTTTACTGTTTTTCTTCTCATGCATAATAATAATTGCAACGTTATTCCACTTTGTATTTATATTGTGTACCGTAACTCTTTTAAACTGATGGCTGATTTGTTTGCTAAAATTGTTATGTATTAAAACACAGAATCTGAAACAAATAGCTATTTTTGAACAGAAAACTTTCCTGAATATGAATATTTGCTTACAGTGAAAAATGAAGAAAATAATGGAAAAGGAAATGAGGGACTATTTGCAGCTGATTATACATCTGTAGTTATTTGGGAGATAGAAGCTTTTGGAGCTGAAGAGATTAATATAAATAATTCACAAGGAGCAACATTTGTGCTAATCCTTTTCAGGACAGATTTGCACTCTTGTCAATAATTGTTAATTGGGTTACCATGCAAAAATTGATTGAAATATGCATCTTAGAATTACATATTTGGTCACGTATGCTTTTTATTGCAATCAAGGGAGAAATAACCGAATGTTATCCTTGATATCTTTATTTAATATACAGAATCACAGTGCACATGAGATAATGTTACTAATTCCAGAAAAATATTTTTCCTGACAATTCCAAAATATTTCTCCTCTAGTGTTTCTGTGGATATAAGGTTATAAAACTGAAGTGCCAATCCATAATTGATAGATGAAAAGAAACTTGTTAACATATTATATTCATGCATCTCCAATCTAACGCTAAGTAATAATTTAAAGCCAGAGAGGTTCCTCGTTACCTTTATTGACAAAAAGCTATATTTTATAAAATTGCAGTACAAATTTGTCCTTACAGGGCCTTCTGTACAACTCAACCATATATTATAATTATCTTATAATTATATTATAAGATAATTATAATATATGGTTGAGTTGTACA